CAGTGGCTGTGAGGGGAAATGCCTCTGCTGAGCTGTGTGAGTGACAGCCAGCACCCTTACATGCCATAGCGACCCAGGCGGCCCACACGGCATCAGAGGGATGCCCTGGCCGGGCCCCATAGCCCATTGTTACGCCACTGCCTGTATCCATGAGAACTAAGATATTAATCTTTTTTAATTTTATTTATTTTTAATTTTAATTTTTTATTATTATATTTGTATTCATTATTAAGTATTTATATAGTGCTGCCAATTAACGCAGCACTGCACATACTTTTTAAATCCCATGAAGGTCCCATTCACACCTGAGCATTTTGTAGCTCGAATGCTCAAGCACGACAACGCTCAACCAGAGGAATCCCACTATTTGTAATGGCCCCTGATAACATCTGAGCGTTCTGTCCACTGTAGCAAAATGCCTGTAGCTTCAACAAGTAGACTTGAAAGTGACACTAAACTCAGCAGTTAAATCTTAATACATTCAGGTACCTTAACTATTAACAAAAATGTATCTTATTTGTGTATCACTCGGCTGTAGATCCTCAAATCATCTCTGAATTGGTGATGATACTGTCCTTCCTTCTGGACGGTGGCTACTTTTGTTCCTCACGGTCCCTGTGTGTATTGTAAAGTAGTCACCGCTCCAAGCTCACTCCCAGGATGGACTACAATCTCACATTTAGTTAACTAATTTGTATTGAGATTGTAGTCCATCACGGGAGTGATCTTGGAGCGGTGACTACTTTAAAACACACACAGGGACCATGGGGAACAAAAGTAGCCCCCCTCCAGAAGGAAGGACAGTGTCAGCACCAATAGAGAGATGATTTGAGGATCTACAGCTGAGTGATACACAAATAAGGTCCAGTATTGTTAATAGTTAAGGTACTTGAATGCATTTTTAAGATTTAACTCCTGAGTTTAATGTCACTTTAATGGCAGTGCCTGAAAAACGCTTGAAAAGTGAAAGTTTACACATGTTTTGAAGGAGTTGTCTATAAAGTCTATGGGGCCAAAACTGCTCAATTCTGCTCCTGTACCACAAGCAATGCATACTGTACAAACGCTTGAAAAACACCCACACATATGCAGAAAAAAGCCTCTAAGGCTCTGTTCACATCTATGCAATGCGGGAACACGTGTGATACCGCATACAATTCTGCATTGCATGTTGCAATGTTAGGTGTGCTGCTGTGTCATTATTTCATAAAGTCGGCATACTAAAAAAATGCAGATCATCAGGCTTTCTATGGCAGAACAGACTGTGCAAGTCTCTGCTGCCATAAAAACTTCTACCTGTCAGTAATTTAGTTTGCTCTGTCTGCTGAACCATGCATGGGCAGCTTAGCGCACAGACCCAGCATGTCGAGATGAAGTAACTCCGGTGCACATCTGTGGGAGTTACATCATGCTGGCTGGCCAATAAACAGGCCGAAGATGTCAGACTGGGAAGACTGATGAAAGATTGAGTGGCCAGCGAGGAAAGAGTGCAGTGCTGAAGGGGATAGTTTTGGCAGGTAAGTTTGCCATAATGTTCCAATATGCTGTGCATACTAATACATTATGGCTTGGAGCTCCAGGGGTAGCTTTTTTTTTTTTTTTTAAACGTGCATATGCGTTGTATTGTACACCGCATCACATGGTAACCTATTGCCAATGCAAGACCTCAAAAAAAGAAAGGTGCATGCACTTCTTTCAGTGCAATTTTGTTGCCATCGAAATTAATGGTCTGCTCTACCCCAGCACACCACAACACATCCCGCAGCACTTCTGCGATGTTGTATGTAAACGACGACTAGACCGTCTGGCTATGCTCACGTTTAGGTGTGAGGGCTGGTTCACACCTAGGCGATTTATCACACGGTTTGAGTCGCACAATATTGCGCAAAACACAGATTCGCATTGCGATTTGACGCGTGTCCAAAATCTCCTGTCGCACGAAAAGGTGCGGGAGCTATTTTCGGGCAGTTGTCGCTCTGTTTGGGTCCCATAGACATCTCTATGCATTTTAAAATCGCGCAACAACCGTCTGGCTTCCAATGAACTGTCACGCGATCGAATAAGTGCAACAATCAGGACCGGATTTACTTTCTCTGCTGCCCCAAGGCCAGGTTCCTCAATGTTCTCCCCTACCTGCCAACCCCCCCATGGAGAATGGGAGACCTGCAGGTAGCATACAATGTCGCCAAGATCACTTGTACAAAACAAGTGGTGGCTTTCCTGCTGTAGATTTAGCTCTGCTTGGCCAAAACAGGACTAAATGTAGAAAACAACTACCCGCCCCGAGCATCGGGAGATATCAGTTCCACACCCCTGCTGCCTCTTTACTCCCTGCTGCCCCAAGGCCGGGCCTTGGTTGGCCTTGTGGGAAATCTGGCCCTGGCGACAATCACACTAAAAAAGTTTAGCATCTGAATCACCTAAGTGTAAACCTAGCCTAAATGCAGCCTAATCCCTTCTCCCTTTATCATATATACATACAATAAATGTGAGACTATTCTATTATATTCATGATGTATCTTTATTTTCCCAGATCCCAATCACACGCAATACTAGTATATATCAATCCAAAAAATAAACTAATAAATATCAATAAATAAATTTTTTTACAAAAAAGCTTGTTGTATACAGACACACGAAAGGTCCACTTTAGTCTGATCGCATTTGCAATTAAAATGAGATCCCCTTCAGTAAAACGCCTCCTGAATGTGAATGAATACTCGATATTCAGTAAAATAAGAAGCGAGCGAAGTACGAGCTGCGTTCGTGATTTTTTAAAGAAAAAAAATCTCTTGCAAGTGGTTCTACTAACGCAGACACAGAATTAATTTGTGCTGTCGTTGCCCTTGGGAGCAGCCTCCAAGTCGCTGATATCACTGTCTTGTGGCTGGGGAAAAAAAAAAGGCTAATTAGCTAGAATATGTTGTAACAGCAAAAATTTGCGAAGTGAAATTGTAGCAAACACAATTGTTGTCATCCTTTTCATCTCCTCATTACTTTTTCATTTGTCACCCTGGTATCAACTGTATGAAAACAAGGCATTATTTTTACATATAGCTGGAGGGGTCTCTTTGCTGCAAAACTTCTACTACTACTATTTTTTGTTTATTTTTCATCTTTCAGGAGTTGACAAAAGATTGTTTATGATTTCTAAACTTCGGTTTTCATCCCGTGGGGTTTATTGTTTTACAAGAACAATAGACTGAATGGTTTTCTTTTTTCTTTTCTTTTCAGATAAAATTACAGAACTGTGTTATTTGCGGCTGTATTGATTCACATCAACAGAAAAGGTCACTTCATTCAATTTGATATATCAAAAGCCGATGTACGGTGTTTGCAATGAGGATTTGAGTTTGTGTAAGAGGAAACTTCGCAGTGTACAGGCGAGACCTTTGTAGCTGAAGCTTACCGCCGACATCGGATGGCGCTCGGACCTGCAGGTAGGTGTCTCGAAGGTTTCTTATGACAGGTGCAAAAATCAGTAAGATATAAGTGATGGCTTATCTCATTGGTATACAAAGTCCAGCACAGCCCCATAATTCTTCCTCCAAGGAATATGGCTTATCTCATGGCTATACCAAGTCCAATGCAGTCCACTAATACTTCCCAAGCATCATGGGTATACAAAGTCCAACAGGATCCATTAATACTTCCCCCATTTAATATAGCTTATACAGTATATGGGTAGAAAATGTATTTAATGATCATTAGAGGGATGTGGCGCGGTTTATGAAATGTGGTAAGTCTGGTCAACCAAAAAATATTTATCTTCATTTGCCTGGCTGCCCCACTAGCTGAATGGATGTCAGAATTCTCACCTTCCTAATGGCCTATAATCCATGAAGACTAATGTTTTATGTGGTTCAAGATCGACCTTCTCTCATAGACCACTACATGGCCTATAATCCATGAGGACTAATGTGTTCTTTGGTTCAAGCTCGACCTTCTCTCATAGACCACTACATGGCCTATAATCCATGAGGATGAATATGTTCTGTGGTTCAAGCTCGACCTTGTCTCATAAACCACTACATGGCCTATAATCCATGAGGACTAATGTGTTCTGTGCTTCAAGCTTGACCTTCTCTCATAGACCACTATATGGCCTATAATCCATGAGGACTAATATGTTCCTTGGTTCAAGCTCGACCTTCTCTCATAGACCACTACATGGCCTATAATCCATGAGGATGAATATGTTCTGTGGTTCAAGCTCGACCTTGTCTCATAAACCACTACAGCTTGACCCGCAGGCAGGGCCGGTGCTAGACTATTTTGCACCCTAGGCAAGACCAGCTACTTGCCCCCACCAGGCCCTCTCCTGTGGCATAACCCCCAATCCCCCCGGCGCGGCCCCATTCTCCTGCTGGCTAGCTTCTGCTGGCAACAGGTGGATGTAAGCAGCCAGGACCAATAGCTAGACTGTTATTGGCTTTTTTAATTTGAAATAGCCAATAGCAGACTGGCTATTGAAACCCCACCCACTGAGCAGAGGAGCGGAGCTGACAGAGAAAGTTGTCTTTTAGTTCCGCCCATCCGCCTACAGGGTTGCTGCTTACAACCTGCTATTGGCTCTTGCAATTTGAAATAGATGGGGGGGGCACCGTGAGGGGGTGAGTGGTCAAGGCTGCGCCCTAGGCAGCCGCAGCTAGTGACCTGCAGAGTCATGTGATATGAAGCCTCAGTCCCCTCTAGAGCCAGTGTGAGCAGTCTATGATTCGTAGAGGTCACATAAAACCTAAATTTTATTCCAAGCGTACCACAATTTGATTGTTTTCAGTTCAGCATTTCCCTTTCGCCGATCGATATTACTTGTTGCTGAGGATTTGGAGTTGATTGTTTCTACAACAGACTCTTGGTAAGAGGACCCCCCGCATTCCTCAGAGTGGCTGCCTTTGTGTCAAGCTGATTTTCAAAGCAGAGCACGGGGACTTTTTAAGGACAAAAAGCCGATAAAACTCTATTTTATCACTCTTCAATCCTTGCCGCAGCCCGGAGTGAGATGAATATTCATGGAAAGTCAATGTGAGCTCTTCCCTTGTACCGTGAGCAATAATCAAACAAGAGGCAGATAAGTGTAAAAGTGCATTCAATGTCAAAAAGCAATTTATTGCAAAAATGCGCTCAGTCTACACTATCACTTCTCATTATTAAATATACGTATTGGCAAACATGCCTCTGGAGATCTTATTAAAATAATGGACTCCTGTTAACAAGGAAAATGTTTTTCTAGCCATAAGCCATTAAGACGGAGCAGCTATCTGAAGCAGAGATATGACAGTGTTGGAGAATTGCAAGCGTGGTGATGTGCCGAGCTGTTTGTATGTTACTGGAGGGGACAGAATATTGCAGCTGATTTGGTGAAACGTCTCATTCCGAGCGCGTCACGGGGACAGCAAGACTGCAACTGTGGCATGAACCAAATTCCGTTGACTTGGTTTGATGGTTTCAAAGCTTTGATCACTTAAAGAAGAACTCAGAGCAGAAGAAAACTGAACCCTTGCTGTGGTGCTACTGCAAGGGTTAAGTGCTCATTTTTGTCTAGGGTCTAATATAACAAAGATATACACACCTGAACCTCAGCCATGGCTGGCTGATAGACTGGTGTCTGCAACCTTACCCCAAACCCACTTCAGTGATGCAATATCCCTTGGCATCCTCAAGTCCAATACACTGTATTGGACTTGATGACTCAAGGGTTCTTAGGTACTGCAGCCTCTCGTCCCCTCTATTCTGGTGTTGGTATGTTCCTCAGAGTCCTCACATCCAGTACACTGTATTGGAATTGATGACTCAAGGGTTCTTAGGAACTGCAGCCTCTCATCCCCTCCGTTCTGGTGTTGGCATGTTCCTCAGAGTACTCACATCCAGTACATTGTGTTGGACATGATCACTCAGGGGTTCTTAGAACCTGCAGCCACCTGTCCCCTCCGTTCTTGTGTTGGTTTGTTCTTCAGAGTACTCAAATCCAGTACACTGTATTGGACTTGATGACTCCAGGGTTCCTAGGAACTGCAGCCTCTCATCCCCTCCATTCTGGTGTTGGTATGTTCCTCAGAGTCCTCACATCCAGTACACTGTATTTGACTTGAACTGCAGCCTCTCGTCCCCTCCATTCTGGTGTTACTATGTTCCTTGGTGTCCTCACATCTAGTACACTGTATTGGACATGATGACCCAGGGGTTCTTAGGAACTGCTAGACTGGTCCCTGCACCCTCTCTCCCCTTCGCCCATCAGGCCTGCAGACCTTCATCCCAGGATTTAAAAAAATACTTGAATGTTATACCAATAAATAATAAAAAGGGTAAAACATACTAATATTACATTGCAGCATTTAGCTGCTTCCTGTATGGGGGGTAGAGACATCACACATACACATTGCAGTGTCAAGTTATATATAATATACCAATCTATGTACATTTTTGTGACAGTGTGTGTCTTGTCTTCCCCATCTGACAGCAATTTCTATAAGGAATTACAAGACCCTGGTCATGGCACGATGTGATTGGATTTGCAGCCCCACCACAGCTAAAGAGCCAGAGTTGCCCACCCTTGTGTCATATGTCTGCTCAAGTTCCAAAAAGGTCCCCACTGCACTCCTTACTGGTATGTTCCTTTAAATGGGTGCTGCAGTGATAGTGGATGGCGCCACTTGAAATCCAAATAATAAAGTATATCACCAGCACATCAAAGTAAAATCTTCAACGAGTGGTTATTTTATTGATATACACACATCTCGTCATAAAGCAACGTTTCGGGGCCACTCAGGGTCTCTTCATCAGGCATGACAATGTGCTATAATACATGACAAGTTTAAATATATGTACAAACCAATCAAAATCGTTCTTCCCCACCCCTGCTCAGGACCACCCAAAACTTACTTTCCATTGTGGGCTGGTTTCCTTCCTTTAACCCTTGCTGTGCCCATGCTTAATAAATATCATTAAAGAAAGAGTGAACACTGAAGGATGCAATGTAACAATGCTGCGAGTTCTGTACACGGGTTACCATGGAATACTAAGAGGAAACCTGACAGTTCCATTTCACACTTGTTTCACTTCATTTGACAGGCAGCAAGAACAAGGTGTAAAGCTGTGATGTCTGCCTCTGTAAATAATTAATGTTATCCCGTGCACGGGGCGATCCTTATTTAATAGAGATTCAGCGACGGCGAACCTGCGAGGTATGGCGTATGAATATGTAAATACCGTACTATTTGTGTTCCTATAGCTACAGATGGAATGTTAACCCTTCATGGTCTGGTCTCCAGAGCAAAACAGTGACTACAAAAGAAGAACCGGACAGGGCTCAGCTCACTCCTGATATCTTCGTCTTCCTAGTTTAAGAAAAAATGTGATTATGTTTTTGTGTAAGTGCGGTCATTGACTGCTACCCGGGACCGGATTTCCCACAAGGCCACTGAAGCCAGAGCCTCGGGGCGGCAGGGGTGTAGAATCTCCCAAAGCCCGGGACATGCAGTTCCGGGTGGGTAGTTGTTTTCTACATTTAGCCCTGCTTTGGGCAAGCAGGGCTAAATGTAGAGTGGGGAAGAGAACATTTCGCCTCCAAATGCTGTTTTTTGTTCGTTTTCTGACGAAGCCCCAGTGGGGGGTGAAACGCGTCATAGGCGTAGGCTAGGTGTTTTGTGTGTGACTGCTACGGCCGAGGCTGCCCTGACTTCTTCACGTCTAACAAACAACCAGAGGACTTGATTGGAGATATCACAGAGTTTCGGAGTTGGAGAAATTATTTCCTTTACCAATTTTCAGTTTACATTCACATTTATATACTATTGGATCCAGCCACATAGGATCTTTCTTTGGATTGAAGCACAACCAGGAAACAAATCGAAACAGCTGCTCAGTAAAGGCCTGCTTATGCAGCAAACAGAAGAGCCAAGATAGAGTTATTATCTCCTGAACCTACTGCACCTAATACAGATATTCGTTATCCTGGACAAGCTAACCATCCTGATGCTATAATCTCCATTTCAGGAAAAAAACAGCATTCCTCAGCAGGATTTCAATCTCCATTGGAGCAACTGACCCGCTAATATCTTCTTTCCATTTTGGAGAAAACCACCACTACAGATAAGCATGTGTTCAGCAAAGGCATATATCTGCGGCTGGGAGTAAAAGCCGAGATGAGGCTAGTGATCTCCTGAATTATCTGCATATCAAGCCGAAATTCATTTATATCCATGGTAAAACCACTCCGATCCTCTTACTTTGTTCTATGGGCGAACATACACAGTACTGTGAGTGAAATCCATCCATTTTTTTCTACACGTATGATATATATTTTTTCATGTTGACTGTTTCTTTTTGCATTTTTCCATACATGTGTATGATGAGATCGGGCATCTCCTTTCCAATCTTTGGGAATTCAATTCTTATATTTTTATAAAGTGGAGGTTTTCAGGGTGTGCCCTCTAACCAA